TAAATAAAGGTATTTTTAAAATAAGTATAGTTATAATAAAGTGCAGTAACTTTTTAGTGGTTACATAACTACATTTATTTGCAAAGGCCTCATTAACTGGATACTTAAAACTGATAAATGTTCATATATGTAATTAAACTTCAATTTTTTTAAATCGCCGTTTTTACTAAAACTTAAGCAGATTCTTTTCAGACCATTTTATTCAATGGCTTCACCATTAATATGTATCATAAAAATGGAATCTCTTACTCCTAAATTCCTAGTCACCAATACTCTACAATTCTGAGAAAAGCCAGTCATTCTTTCAGTCTCTCATTTTCAGCCTTCAAGAGACCATCAATTCTATTTTCTTTCATCCCTATTATTCTCCCTTAGTTCATTTCTCTTGGGAATTCTGCAGTAGATTCCCACATGATTTCCCTGTCTTTCATCTCCTCCTACCAATAGATAAAAGGTAATCTTGACCACGAAACTAACACAAACAAAACAGTAATATCAATTAAAAACGTGTTTACAAATATCAGATTCCTTGAAGTCCCAAGCCCCATGCAGCTAAAGGCACTTCAAATTTAGTTATCTTGATCAGTGTCAATCTTCCTTTCACAAAAAGCCTGTGTTTGCTATTTCTGCTTTAAGGCCCAGGTTGTCTTGCTGCCTAAAAATTATCTACTAATCACTATAAATACAGTTTAACACCCTCTTAAGTCGGAAATAAGTGTTCAGTCCTGTTCTTGCTAACAGTATGAACATATTGTTACTTATTAATGCCACTGCTTCCTCCTCTACATTGAAATTACTTAGGATAGGGTCTAAATCTTCACCAAGCATGGTGCTTGGCACATAGTAAAAATGATTTGTGAATGAATAATAAAGGAGTATAAAAATAGTATTATTCACTAGATCCATTTTTACTTTGACGAATACAAATTAAGGACTCATTTAAACAAACAGTTTTAAAAGTATAGTTTGATATAGAAATAGTACCTTGTCTACATGGAAAATTAAATCCAGTTCACAGACATTTTCAAAGCACTTGTCTAATGTTTCCACAAATACCTACAGAAACAAAAAAGGAAAAAAGGTTAAAAGCTTTTGAGAACTGTACAAGGTTATTTAAATCTATTAATATGACAATTTTTAATTGTAAACTAAAACTTTATTATTGCAATTCTCTTCAATTAAGTTATCTTAAGTGCAAAAGAATAATTATAGACCATTCTTCCTATAAACTACTTTGCACTACATTAATATATAAAACAAAGGAAATTTTAATAAAAATAACTAAGAATTTGCAATTCCTAGCCCCATTACTTATAAAAGCATTTAAAAATATTCAAAATAAGCTTGTTGTCAGGAAGGGGAAAATTCTATTAGAAATACTTATCAATGACCCTCTCTGGTGGCACAACAGGTTAGGGCACAGCCTGTAAGCTAGTCATAGCTGCTTCAGTGTGAGTTTCATCCCAGGTCCCGGAGGTGATCCACATGGTGTAGCTGACCTCTCCTGTCTCGCCCGCTGCTCCCCTCAGCAGTGTACGCTGTCAATCTGCCTGTTCTGCTCCCCACTCTCTCTCTGGTGAATCCTCTCACCGCCCCTGAGTCTCTGGCCTATATCCCAATCTATATACATAAATAAAAATCTTAAAAAAAAAATACTTATAATAGATGGGTACAGTACAAGTCTCTATTGTATACTATGTAGCCAGTAATTTTTAATTAACATGTCAGTATAAAAAGTCACTAAAAATTACTTATGGAAAGAATATAGACATTTGGAATCAGATTAAGCTGGATTCAAAACTCTGACTCAAATATCTTATATGATCCTGAGTGAGAAAGGGTTAACCCAGCAGACCTAGGTTACTCAAACCCTGCACATCCCCAAAGAGCCTGTTTTCAGGCTAGCCCTGGCTAGCGCCTAGGAGTTAAGTTCTAACTTACGTTCTGTGTTATATCAGTGTTTTTGTATGCATGAGGTCTTGGGCGACACTGTTCCAATGTGAGCAAATAGTTTATGTAGCAGTGTGATTTATGAACATTTCTTTTTCTCTGAGAGCCGAGAGCTTCTATATCCATTAGCTTTGAGACAGTGCATATAGAACAGACCTCTTAGAGCTACCCTAGACATAAAGCTAGAGTGAGCTTCTGTGGTTGGCAACATTTTATCCTGTTGTCACATATTATTTCTTGTGTGATTACATCTCTGTGACTCCAGTGAGACTGGACACCTGGAAACTTATACCTGGTTCCCATTAGGACCTCCCCTCACATACTTTGATGATTTTACTATGTATTCCCTTACGGTAATAAACCATAATTATGAATATAGCAGCTTCTGAGTCTTGGAAATCTTAGGCAACAATTGATATATTGGGTATCTCTGACAACAAGCCATCAAAAATGAATCTCTTAAGTTACACTTTATAGTAATTATCACTGACTATGCGATCTATCCCTATTTCTAGTCCCACTATCCACCATCCAGATAGAATGACCATAAACCTTACTATCCAAACAGTAAAGGATTCCAAATAAATGGGATCCATTATTCATCATCATTATAAAATAAAAATTGTGTGTAATGTTTACATATGATAACAACCTGGAGTAACAGATTTAAAAACCAGGATTGTTCCAAATAAATTGAAATTTAATCTATGGGACAAAGAATAAAATCTAAACAGCTCCTTGCTATAACTGGTCAATTTACACATGGCCACAATTCAAGGAAGTATCCTGGCCTCAGTGTAGATGGCAAGACAGATAAAACAATACAGATTTGTTACTATCAATGTATGACTATTACCACCTTGCACCAGGGGTTGGCAAATGCTCTGCAAAGGTCCAGAGAGTAAATACTTGAGGTTTTATGGACCATACAGTATAACACAAAAGAAGTCATAGACAATATATAAACAAATGACCATAGTTCTATTCCAATAAAACTTTATTTACAAAAACAAGTGACACGTTGGATTTGCCCTGCAGACTGTTGCTTGCTGGCTCTTGACTTAGAACAAACTCACTAAGAGAAATAATGTATCTGTAGTATCCAAGAATATAGTTTTACTCATAAGATTATCAAGCATGGGGCATAAACAGATTGACTTCAAGTGAGCTATTTCAATTTTACAGTAGTAATTTTTACATATTACTAAGTCTTCACCAAAACTTCATCTATTTTGCATCAAGGTCTTGGTGACATGATCTCTGAAATGATTTTATTCATTTTATTAACAACTAATTCAGATTCATTTTCCTTAGGAGGACTGCAGAGGACAATGTTGCCTGAATACAAAAATAAACATGAAACAAAAAAAAAATTTCCTACTTAAAAAAAGATAATTATTTTTGAACAATGTCATTAACTTGAAAATACCCTGAACACGAATTTATGGAAATTGTAAAGAAGTTGAAGGAAATAAAGCCATTAAGATATGCACTCCCACTTTAGCAAACTTAAATATAAGATACATACAGAAAATAATACAAATCATAAGCTACACCATGATAAAGTAAACATTCTGTGTAACCAACACCCATCGAGTTTTAGAATATTGTCAGATGACTAAGAATTTCACTCATACTCTATCATTCACTATTACCACTAAATGATCCACTATCCAGCTTTCTAACATTATAGACATGGCTATTTCTGAAAGACATTTAAATGGAATATTTAAATGGTCTTTTATGATGGCTTCTTTTACTTGTTGTTATTTTTATTAGTTTCACCTTTTATTACATAATAGAATAGCTCATTCATCCTCACTGTCCTTTCAGAACTAAAAGAGAATGCTAACTAAGGAAATAAGAAATTGCTGCTGTATTATATTCCACAAGCAGAAGGATAAAAAGAGCCAAGAACTAGAAATGACTTGGTAAACAGCACCCTCTTGTGTTTCATAATAGAAAGTTTAAGTCAATTTCAAAGTGATATCAGTACTTTGTATCTACTAATTAATCTCAGGTCACAAAGAATTCAAAAGCCAGTGAGAGAAAAATTACTTTTAATTAACTGAGAGATTAATATTTTAAGTTTTTCTTCATTTAGTAATTGCCTATTTTCCAAAAACAAATATAAACTACAGATATTCAGAAAGTCACATATGTGTACAGTCTCCTTTTCCTGTGCCCTTCTATTAATACAAAGTCCTTGTGCTTCCTGTATTTTTAATTACAAATCTGTATCAGAGTTATAAAAGATAACAGGAATCTGTTTTGAAGCAGCTAATACTCAGTACTTAAGAGAATAAGTTTAGAATATATCTATTAAAATTCCAGCTTAATCTCTAACTATTAAATGTAGGGAAAGTGAACCCAAAGTCTTAGTGTCTTTATTTTGGCATAATGGCAAGTATCCATGCAGAAGAGTTCTTTCAGTGATAAAACGAATAAATCTAAGGGCTTAGAACAAAAAAATAATAATAAGTATTAGTTATTTCTATAGTACTATAAACATATGGAGAAATAAAAACGTATATAGGTCAAATAAAAACACATTCTTTATTGGTGGTCATCTTTTCATGCCACTGTAATGGTACACATGGATGTCCTAGTTACACCATCAACACCACTAACAATGGTCAAAGGAAATGCAAATGTGAGGTTCTTAGTGGACTGTGAGCATTTCTGTTAAATGTCAAGAGGAACAGATCTTACTGTTGCTAATCTATAGTAAAAAATGAAGTACATATTAAACTGATTATAATATAAGGAAATTACTAAGCCTAAGAAAAGGAGGCAGAAACTCAAGCACCCTAATATACCAAAAGAGCTAATATTTTTTAGCCAGCAGAAACATGTTCTGGACAGAGAAGAATTCTCTCAAGCCATAATAAGAAAATATCACCAAAAACACAATAAAACTAGAAAATGAAGATTGAACTTTAAATCAGATTAATTACCTTTGAAGAACAACTATGAAGAAAGCCTATCCTGTACTTAGCACGTAACATTCAGAATCTTGAGGTGTGCAAACTGCACTTGACTCAGTATGTAACTAAATTCAGACTAAATTTCCACTAAATCTGGCCTGACAATAACATGCCAACGACGACAATATTAGTACAAGTAGAGACATTTATTGTGTATCTCATTCACTAGGCCTACTCCCTCCAACAACAGATATAATATTCATTTTTAATATAGTAAGTACTCACTTAGAACACTTGGAACATACAGAAAAGAATAAAGCATAATATTTTAAAGTTTCTATAATTCTACCACCCATTAAAGTGGTATGATACAAAGCATAAGTAGCTTGTACTATAAGAAATTTAGGGCCCTCCCTGGTGGCGCAGCGGGTTAAAGCACAGCACTGAGAATCTAAAAGCCGCTTCCGCATGGGTTCGATTCCCGCCTGCCCCGGAGGAGACCACATGGCGTGGCAGACCTCTCCTGACCCGCCCGCTGCTCCCCTCAGCAGTGTAC